ACCTATCCCTCCGTTTTATGCTCTAACAACTTATTAAACAGATAAGTATTCTGCCACGGTGCAAGTGCTTATTTAAGATGCTGTAGTGCCTTACTAGAACAACAGTGACATCTAGTGCCCAAGAAATCTAAGAAGCATGTATTACCAGCCCAGGAGGTAGGGGATATATTGTCCAGGCTGTTTGTCTGTGTCTTTGAACAATGGAGAAAACTGGGTACCAGAAATAAGAAAATTATAATGCTAATCACCCTGCAGTACTAACTCTGTTGTTCTTCTTCTTTTTTTTTTTTTAAGACACAGTCTTGCTCTGTTGCCCGGGCTAGAGTGCCACGGCATCAGCCCAGCTCACAGTAACCTCAAACTCTTGGGCTCAAGCAATCCTTCTGCCTCAGCCTCCTGAGTAGCTGGGACTACAGGCATGCACCACCATGCCTGGCTAATTTTTTTCTATATAGATTTTTAGTTGTCCGGCTCATTTCTTTCTATTTTTGGTAGAGATGGGGTCTCACTCTTGCTCAGGCTGGTCTCGAACTCCTGAGCTCAAACAATCCGCCTGTGTCGGCCTCCCAGAGTGCTAGGGTTACAGGCATGAGCCACCACGCCCGGCCTGCCATGTGTGTTTTTAAAAGTTCCTTTTGTTGTCTGTAGAATAGATTATCAAGTGAAAGTAGAAACAGAAACTAATTAGATGGTCATAGCAGTCCAGAGGAAAATCTATGATTACTGCAGTGGCAGCAGAGACAGCAAGAACTGGAGAGATCTGAAGTACATTTTGGAAGCAGTTTTGGGCCAGGCACCTGGAGGCATAGCACCATCAGTTACTGGAACTGGAAGACCAGAAAAAGAAAAAACTTTGGGGGAGGGCAGTGTGATGCAAGTGGGGGTGATATGATATGGAATTGAGAATTTTGATCCAGCCAAGTTACATCTGGGATGTCACTATTGTCTGTGTCTTTGAACAATGGAGAAAACTGGGTACCAGAAATAAGAAAATTATAATGGTAATCACCCTGCAGTACTAACTCTGTTGTTGTTCTTCTTTTTTTTTTTTTTAAGACACAGTCTTGCTCTGTTGCCCGGGCTAGAGTGCTGTGGCATCAGCCTAGCTCACAGTAACCTCAAACTCTTGGGCTCAAGCAATCCTTCTGCCTCAGCCTCCTGAGTAGCTGGGACTACAGGCATGCACCACCATGCCTGGCTAATTTTTTTCTATATAGATTTTTAGTTGTCCGGCTCATTTCTTTCTATTTTTGGTAGAGATGGGGTCTCACTCTTGCTCAGGCTGGTCTCGAACTCCTGAGCTCAAACAATCCGCCTGCGTCGGCCTCCCAGAGTGCTAGGGTTACAGGCATGAGCCACCACGCCCGGCCTGCCATGTGTGTTTTTAAAAGTTCCTTTTGTTGTCTGTAGAATAGATTATCAAGTGAAAGTAGAAACAGAAACTAATTAGATGGTCATAGCAGTCCAGAGGAAAATCTATGATTACTGCAGTGGCAGCAGAGACAGCAAGAACTGAAGAGATCTGAAGTACATTTTGGAAGCAGTTTTGGGCCAGGCACCTGGAGGCATAGGACCATCAGTTACTGGAACTGGAAGACCAGAAAAAGAAGAAACTTTGGGGGAGGGCAGTGTGATGCAAGTGGGGGTGATGTGATATGGAATTGAGAATTTTGATCCAGCCAAGTTACATCTGGGATGTCACTATTAAGACATTCACGTAGATGCCAAAAAGGCAACACTGAGCCAAAGCAAAGTCATCTTTGCTGCTTTCTCAGCCCCTCTATAGGGATGGACCATGCTGTACCAGTGGGGAAGATCTTACTAAGGACATAGGAAAGTTGCAAACATGTCCTTCTAAAACTCAAGCCAATTTCTCCCCTGGATGAGGTTGATTGCATTGTCCATCTCTGTCTCATAGACTAATCCCACAGGCAAGTACTGACTATTAGGATTTATGCCTTTAGTTGATCCTAAAGGATGTGGACTCTTGACTGCAACAGACTCTTGCTCACAACACAAACTCCATAAATCACTGCCAGCTACTCAGAATCATAGGAATACCAATGTCGAAAGAGACTTTAGAGATCACCAGGTAGAAAACTCTCTTCTACTGAGGAGGAAACAGACACCTGACAGATTTCTCTCAAAGTACAAAGGATATTCTGTATTCTGTCAGTTCTTTCAGTTCTTCTTCTCTTCGTTGCTTTTCTATTAGTTCCTGCTGCCGAGAAACCTCATCAAGGAAGTTGGTCTCATCTTCGTCTAAGCCTCTTACCATGTTTTCTGAGGAAATAATTAAACAAAGAACACTTAGCAGGCTAAAGGGAAAAATAAGATTTTTCCTTTTCCTTTTTTTAATAAACAGCAGATTCTTCAGGGAATTAGAAGAAAGAACTGGTAAACAGCATGGCTTTTGGATAGATAGCATGACACAAAAATCAAGGCACTTTTCCCATTACTAGACATTAGCATAGAATTAAAATGGGTATCTTGAGCCTTAAACAAAAATGTTCAATGTGGTCTAGGAGCCAGAAAGCTTCTCTTTTCTACCAAATGAGCATCTGGAGACTAGATAATCAAGACAATTCCATAGCTAGTTAGAAAAAGTGTTGCATGAGGCAAAAGTGTATCAGAAAGACCCTGCAGAGTCCCTTGAATTGTATTTTCCGAAGCTTACTGAATTTGAACTGCTCCTCATACTCCTGCTGCTTCCTGTCTTTCTGTTCCTGCAGCCTTTCATATAGAGACCGAGGGTCATAAGCCTCCTCTGGACATTCTTGTGGATCTTCAGGTTTTCGAACTTTCTCCCATTCTTCTTGCCTCCTTTTGCGCCGTTCATCTAGTTCTGCCTCAGACACAAATCTCTTTTTGATAACAAGGTTACCATCATCCCCTCCATCCATAATGGAACAATCTACAAAATAAAAAACAAAAAATCATTTCAAGTGAGAACTTCAATTAAAATTCTAAACAGGAATAAGGGGAGTTGCTCTGTCTCACCCAGCAACAGGGTAAAAATTCTCTTCTAATTTTGAACTGAAAAAAACGCTCATATAGTTAAATTTATAGGTCATTGATAAAACATACGATTACATTTTCCCTAACATATCAGGCAGTTTTTATCAACATCAATGTTATCTACAAAGTTACAGAGAGGACCTGGAATAATCTCATTACCTGGAGTTCCATAGTCAATTTCACATTGCAGATATTTCTCTGCCCCTCTAATCCAGACAAGCTGGCCTCCTGGGCACCCCATCCTTTTCCCAGTTCTCATCCTCCTTTATTTCTGTAACATCTGACATTGTGCCTTCTTGAAATTCCTGTTTCTAGGACATTACGCTATCTTGATTCACCTGCTCTTGCTTCCAAGTAGATTCAGATGGAGAATCTCAGGTATTAAAGGAGGCTTAGTGATCGAATCCATCTATACAGCAGAGAAGGTGCACAAACCATGAATGCAGAATGTGAGACTGGAAGAACCTGGATCTCCCAACTTCAAGTTCAATGTACTTTCCAGGATACTAAGCTGACTCTTCCTTTATATCCTCCCAGACCTTCCTCTGTACAAACTCCTTGGCTGTGCCACTTAAGATTCTATCTTTAATCCTTCTCTTTTCTCACTCCCACAATAACTTCAACCACTTGATGCATATTTTGATGCAGAAGATTCCCAAATCCATTATTTCTACCTGCACCTTTCCTCAGAAAAGGGAGAAGGAAATAAAGATAGAGTGTATCATTCCTTTTAAACTACACCTCTTTCTGCTTTTCTTTACAGGTTTCTTTCCTTTTGAAGAACTGTGGAATTAACCCACTACCCAGACATGTTATGTGTTATTCCCAGCATTACACCCCAACAA